TATATATATATATATATATATATATATATATTATGTTCATTGTTTGTTCATGTTAGTTTACATAAGTTTACATTATATACACACATATATATACTCAGCCCATTCTCACTCCCAAGGCGTCACATAACTGACGCCATGGGAAGCAATTGACCATGTTTCAATATCTGACGCTTTAGGCGCCCTTTAGCGTCAGTCAGATGACGCCCTAGGATCGCGTGTACCCTACCCCCACCCCACACCTAAACCTAACCGCGTCTTCTAACTGACGCTTTCCTTTAGCGTCAGTTAGTTGACGCCGTAGGATCGCGTCATGTAAGTGATGCTAAAGGGCGCCTAAAACGTCAAATTGAAGCATGGTCAAAGGTGACGCCTTGGGGTGAGAATGTGTTGATATACTACAGTAGGCCTATTGTGCAAAAGTCTTATTACAATGTTATTATGGCATGTTAATTTTTTTCACCCCAGTTATTTAATTAATTAATAATATAAGCCTAATTATGCCTATATCTTTTGCTTTTTGTGTCAGTAAATATCAGTTTACATTTCCAAACATTACTTTTGCGATTAATCTAGCATTTGGAGATTAAAGTCAAAATATTTCGAGATTAAAGTCGAATTTGTTTTTTATTTGCCTATACATTTTGGGGGGACTTGCATTACTGGTTATTCCCTAAATTTGAAGGTTTACCTGTACTAACAAAGGAAAATTTAATTTTTGGCATTTTAATGAACGAATTTTTGGTATTAAAATGCCCGCTCCACGAAACATAACAAAGTGTTCCAGCCAATAACTGACAAGAAGGCCCTGGGGGTGGGGTTTGTCTTGATGAGGAGGGGGGAAGGTCTATCTAGCCTCCGTTTTGTTTCAAAATACTTTAAACGTCAACAAGAATTCACATCACACAACATCGCTTAGAGCACCTTTAAATCTGAGGAAATCACAGGATCCGGCCAAATGATTGGATACAGAATGATGCACTTAAAATGTATCCAGAACGTATTTACAGATGGTTACTGTTGTGTTCTCGACCCAGATAGTGTTGCCTAGATGAGCACGAAAACACCTCAATAACACCGCCACTAGCACCTGTGTAGAATTTTGTTGAAAGCTCTGAGCTAGTGGGCGTGCACTGTTATGAATCCACACACTTCTGTGGAAGACTGTATTATTTTAATGTTTTGACTTTTTTCTCGAAAGGTTTGACTTTAATCTCGAAACGTTTCGACTTTAATCTCGAAAATTTTCGACTTTAATCTCAAAATATTTTGACTTTAATCTCAAAACATTTCGTCTGTAATCTCTTTTTTAACATGTTTTTTTTAATTTAATTTAAGTTTTTTTGTTTTTTACGTTGCGGTTCAGGGCTTCCGTAATTTACAGTACATTTTTGCTGAGTTTTATTGTTTTTCAGAATACTCTACACGTTGTGTTGGGAGCTTCCTTTGAATTTTGATGTAAATAATTACCAGCTCAAGTAATTGCATGGATAGAGTTGATATTTAAAATTGTCTTTATATTTCCATCTTAAAGTATGACTTCCCAAATATAAGGAGATGGTGGGTACTGTAGGAGCCAAATATAATTTGTTCAACCACTAGATGGCAGGGTGCACCAGTGGTGCAGGTGAAAGCCACACCTGTTCAATCACATGATATTTAAACTCCTAAACTGGGTTGAATCAGAAAGGGATAGGTGGCAGTGATATATGGTTATTACCAACCAATGCATTGTAAACTCTGTAAACATACATCTCATTAAATGGACAACAAACTGTTCAAACGGATACCGCTGTGGACATTGTTTTACTGAGCTTATAGGAAAACCACTACAGGTACTAACTTTGGAGTTTTGTCTGAAAGGGATCTCCTCTCCTTATTTCTATCCAGCTCACACTACATCACATTCCAACCAATACTATATCAACCAAAAAAAAAAAAAATAGTGTTACAGGACAGAAAACCTCCAAACCAAGGAGATGTGAAAAAAAAACTACACCCAGCAGTAGTGAGGTATTTATCAATATATACAATATTGCAAATCTTACATGTGAAATATTAAAACTTTATTATTATTTTCCATTTTATAATGAAGGAACTCCTAACAATCAAACACATGCTTCTAACTGTGCAATGAATACATTGGCTGTGCAATGAATACATTCAACAGACGTGATCATTGGCTCCATGGAAGAGCTTCTAACTATACACAGAGGACTGGTATATGTCAATCGATCTTAAGGACACGTATTTCCAAATACAAATAGCGTCACGTCACAGGTTAATCTTGAGATTCATCTTTCAGGGGCCCCAGAGCCCCAGAGTGGAACAACTCAGTAGTCTCTCTCACTATTCCTCTAAAGTTTGTACAGTAGACAGCAACTGGAGACACGATACATTTCAGATGCCTGAATGTTTTCAAATGAGGACGTGCTTCTAAACAAGACAAAAGGGGAGTGTGTTGATCTCTGGCTCCATGTGTGTACAGCACAACTAATAAGCTCAGACTTGTATGCTACGTCACTGCACTGTGGTTTAAATGTGGCTCTGGGTTAATATTTCAAGAAAGTACAAGCATTAAGCAATTTTACAGTTATCTAGATAGCTTTGTTCATACAAAGTGTAAGGATACTGGGATATTAGCTCAGAATATAATTTTAATAACGAATTATGAAACATGATCACCTACAAATTATAAAATTACCCGTAAGGGAATAAGTTGCCAATGTTCTGTATGAACGACTGAATGCAATGAACAATTGCACTATCAATAATCAGTCACAAGAATTATAATTAAATATTAATATGTGAATTGTCAAATATTAATAGATCGATTGTCAGAATAACCGTCAAGGGGATTAATTTATTTATTGAATCATCTGCTTGTCCAGCAAAACTGATCATTTGATCTCCATCAAACCTCACAAAAATCATTGTCCTTTATAGTCTTTCAAGAGAAGCTATTCCTCTCCACAAGAATAAAATTTCCTGTTAAGGCCTTAACTCCGAACAATTGACCAATGAACCAGCTGATAAAATCTTCCGTTGATTGCGATACGTGAAATCTTACAACTTGACACACCAAATTAACCTATCGCATTTTACTGATGCAAAAGAAGTGCAGTTAATCTAAAAGTTGATGAGTGTGTTGTGTTAACTATATTTAGGCCTATCAAAATAGTTTACCAAAGAAATAATTTACCAAATAAAAGAAAATGAAAAATCAAACAAGGTGAAGTTGCCTACTTTTCATTTCTAGAGTATTATTATTATTATTATTATTATTATTCAACGCATTCTCACCCCAAGGCGTCACCTTTGACCATGCTTCAATATTTGACGCTTTAGGTGCCCTTTAGCGTCACTTACATGACGCGATCCTACGGCGTCATCTAACTGACGCTAAAGGAAAGCGTCAGTTAGACGACGCGGTTAGGTTTAGGTGTGGGGTGGGGGTAGGGTACACGCGATCCTAGGGCGTCATCTAACTGACACTAAAGGGCGCCTAAAGCGTCAGATATTGAAGCATGTCCAAATGCTTCCCAAGGCGTCAGTTAAGTGGGATACAGTGGGATACAGTGCAAGCGGCATGGAATCACAGACCTGCATTGATGAGGTGATGTTATAAGATTGGTCATGATTTTTTGAACTTTCTGATCATTCACATGTTTGTCAATAATATGAAATATTTAATCCGGAAAGGACAAAACAAATGATAATGAATTAACCCAAAAGGTTCCGTATAGAACCTTTTTCCTGGTTACAAAGAACCCTAAAGGGTATTATTGAACCCTTAAAAAGGGTTCTGTATAGAACCTTTTAGGGGTTCCATATAAGTAGCGCTTTCCCAAGACAAGAGATATAATTTTTTCACGTTGTTTGCTGCGAGAGGGCTGTGGAGTCTGCATGGGGAGAGCGAGTGCGGAGAAGAGCAGTGAGAAGTGGGTCAAGTGCAAATCATTAACATGTCTTTCTCATAGAGCCTGCAATGGGGCAGACGTTGACTATACATTTTATGTTGTCGAAAGTTCGAACTAGTTGAAGGCACAGAAGCGCTACTTTTCATTTCGTTGAACAACAAAATACTCTGGGACCTCACTGACCTGATTTCTTTGTCTTTTTTAAAATTTTGTGAACATTGTTGAAGCACACTTGTTAAAGTGAGCAATGATACTGTTAGTGCAAATGTACATGCAAGCATGCAAATGTAATTATGGGAGCTTACTTGTGACAATGGTTTTGGTTTCTTGGTTGCCATTCCTCCAATCATAATCATGTTAGGCATCAACGGTCGTGGGATTTCCAAGGCAAAGTCGAATCGCATAAACCAGAGAGCTGCACGGCTCATGATCTCAACCATCGATGCCTTTCTCTGCAGTAGACGTGAGGCGATCTCATCTGCACAAGTAAACAAATGTCTGCAAGCCATGGCCTGCAGGAGAGTCCTTACCAGGTTCACACTCCTTTGCCAAAGACTCATGTGGTCAGTAAAGTGAGTTAAAGGCTGTGGAACATAAGAGGCTGGAACTGGACATTGACTGGCGAGAGCGTCCACACCACAAGGAAGGTTTATTTGCATATAAATAGCTGGAACTGAGAGATATTCACCAGCTATAGCTCCAATGGGCTCAAATGGATCTGTGAGAATAGCATCAAAATTGTAATCTTGTAGTTTCTTCATCAAGTCCCTGTTGAAGAGCAGACCCTCTGCGTTCCTCACTATGAAGCTTTGAAGAATATCCAGTGAAATAATGAACACCTGGAACTTGGCCAGGTCTGTCGACATATCAATACTTAGAATTGTGTTTAATTGATCTGCTAAGTCTGCTTCTAATTCATCCTTAGTGTAGTTCACTGGATATGTCAGAGTGGTGGTATTCTGTGAAGGACCCATACTCAGACTCGCCTCTGGGATGACGACCACCACCTGGTTTCCTCTCCTCCCCAGCTCCTCCACAATAGGCTTCATCCCTAACCAGTGACTGCCATCTGATGGAATAACCAACAGTTTCCCAGCTTCAGCTGAACCCAAGAGGAAGAGACTCAAGACCAACCACACAACAGCCATTTTATCAATGGTATAATAAAATCTCTCACGCTGGCTTTTGAACAAGAAACAACCAGGAAATGTGTAGCTTAAACTACTCCAATATCTCACAATGTGTCTGGTTTATGCAAGCAGAGGTGGAGATCCTTTTAGCTGGGTGGGACTTTATCTGTATAAGGTGAAGCAACCAATTTGGGTGAAAGTTTAAAAATGTGTTTAAAAGGGGGGATTGGGGGTAAGGAAAATTACTTTTTATAAATGATTCTGGTCAAATGCAAAACTCATGGCAAGCAGGAAATGTCATAAGCTGCAAAATAATGGATGTGTTGGTAGAGTAACTAAAGATTTTAAAATGGATGAGGATGTGTTAAAATGTGTTTTTACAATTTTACCTCAATATTACCTATTACCGGTAAATCTATTTATCACTAATCTATAGCCTATTAAACAAACACTAACCAAAACCCAAGTTACTTTAAAATTTGAAACAGACACTAAATTCTGTGAAACAATGTCTAATTAAAGTTCATTACACTCTAAAAAATGCTGGGTTGTTTTAACCATTTTGGGTCAAATATGGACAAATCCATACATGTGTTTAAAAATAAACCCATAAGTGTGGTTAAACATTGAAACATTTCTTTTTAAAGAGTGAATAATCAAACACAGCCTGTCTTCCAACATTAGCCTTTTATCTGCATCTGTGTTTATAGGGATAGAAGCATTGTTGACCTAAGCTTGCAAATTGAGATCATGTATGGCATGATTGGCTTATACAATAACTAATGGTCCAAAACCATGCATGGCCCACAGTTTCCACAGTGAGACTTCCCTCTGTAGGAACTCCAAGGTAACTGCATCAGTTTACAGTGAGATTGCACACTGCTGAATTCTTTCAGTTAAAAGCTGAAATTAAGGATTTGTTAAAAAAGATAAATAATAAAATGAAATGATGGTATGATTATAATATTAATGACATCTAGAGTGAGAATGTTTTTATATATTTATGTTGATAAATGCATTCATTGGAGGAGCAGATGTGTGGGTGCTGGTGAGGTTTTGCAGTTTGCACTTTGCCCCTGTACACAGAAACTTGAACAAGTTTGTAAAAAGATAAAATTCCAGAAAGCATCAAAAATATTTTAGATTTGTTGTTTTCTGTTCTTACACAGACCTGTGAAAATGCTCAGAGAGATTCTTCCTCTTACAACATTTTAATGCATGAATTACTTTATCCTACATACTGTGCTGAATTTTTCAAGTCACTTAAAATCTCAAAGTTCCAAACAAACTGCAGACTGATCAGAATATTGAGAAGTATTTCATTCCAGTTGAAAATATGAATGAGTTTATTTATATTATTTCTGAAGTGTCTTTCTTTTGAAACTGTGATATTGGCAAATTTTACTTTAGATTTGAAGATGATAACAGAAAATAGCACAAGGAAAATCAGTAGTAGTGGCAAAATAAGAGCTATTGGATTACTAACCTGTGACAAAGGTTTTGCTTTCATGTTGTCCATTCCTCCGACTATGATCATGTTTGGCATCAACGGACGTGGAAATTCCAAAACAAAGTCTGAATGCATAAACCAGAGAGCTGCACGGCTCAAGATCTCCACCATCGATGTTTTTCTCTGCAGTAGACGTGAAGCAATCTCATCTGCACGAGAAAACATACGTCTGCAAGCCATGGGCTGCAGAAGAGCCCTTACCAGGTTCACACTTCTTTGCCAAAGATTCATGTGGTCAGTAAAGTGAGTAAAAGGTTGTGGAACATAAGAGGCTGGAACTGGACATTGACTGGCGAGAGCGTCGACACCACAAGGATGGGATGATTGTATATAAATGGCTGGAACTGAGAGATATTCACCAGCTATAGTTCCGACAGGCTCGAATGGATCTGTCAGAATAGCATCAAAGTTGTAATCTTGCAGTTTATTCATCAAAGCTTCGTTGGAGAGCAATACCTCAACATTCCGGTTTATAAGAGCATTAAGCAGATCCATAGTTTTGAGGAAACTCTGATACCTGGCCAGATCTGTAGATAAATCTTCACTTGTCAGAGTAATAACACCTGCAGTCACATGCTCTTGTAGCTGAGTCTTGGTGTAGGGTACTGGATATGTCAGAGTAGTGGTGTGCTGTGAGGGACCCATACTCAGACTTGCTTCCGGGATGACGACCACCACCTGGTTTCCTCTGCGGCCAAGCTCTTCCACCAAAGGCTTCATACCTGTCCAGTGGCTGCCATCTGAAGGAACTACTAATAACTTTCCAGCCTCTGCTGATCCCAGGCAGAAAAGACACAAGAGCAACACAGAAGCAGCCATTCTAACAATCATATCATACATTATCAGCAATAACTACAAGCAGATGAGCTTGTAGTATTGGTGAGCTAAGAAGATTGTCTTGTAAGTCTGCAAACACTTATGAATTTGCACATCCTGTGGCACTGGCTTTTATCCTGAAAGGGGAGTTTCAACAAACAACAATAGGCTGGGCCTGAAAAGTTGAAAATCTCGATTCTTAAAGGGATAGTTCACCCAAAAATGAAAAGTATTTCATCATTTACTCACCCTTAAGTTGTTCCAAATCTCTATGTGTTTATTTGTTCTGCTGAACACAAAGGAAGATATTTGGAAGAATGTTTTAATCAAACAGATCTCAATCCCCATTAGTATTTTTTTTTATTTTCCTACTATGGTAGTCAATGGGGAATGAGATCTGTTTGATTAAAACATTCTTCCAAATATCTTCCTTTGTGTTCAGAGAGGTTTGGAACAGCCTGAGGGTGAGTAAACAATGATAGAAGTTTCATTTTTGGGTGAACTATCTCTTTAAGCAGCAAAGAATGCCCTTCTTTGTGTGAGAAAAGAGTGAGAAAAGTATCCAGATCTCATAAATGAACAAAAGCGGAGTTATATTGTAAGCATATTTATCTAGATTGCAATTTGACTGAACATAAAGGGGTGATGAACTGACACATTTTCCTTGAGCTTTTGACATGTAAGAGGTCATCATATTATAAAAATATCCTGTAAGTTTCAGAACTGAAAACGTTGTTAGTCTAATAAAAGCTTTTATTGACACCAGCCTCAGCAAACGACTCCTTTTTCAAAGTGGGGAACTATTATGACAAAGAGGATAAAACACCAGCCCCGCAGAAGAAGATCAACTACTTCAACACGGCCGGTTTAGCCCCTGTAATAGAAACGTCTCGGTTACGGATGTAACCCTCGTTCCCTGAGTAGGGAACGGAGACGTTACGTCAGAAGTGACGGAGATTGGGGGTTTCGCATAGAAAGCCAATCCTCTTAGAGTATTTAAAAACGAGCCAATGGCGTGCAATGCCTTGGGGCTGCGGAAATTTGCATAGCGTACTCCGCCCTACTCCGTGAGTATAAAAGGAGGAAGTGAACGCAACCGCAGTATGTCTTCGCTGAGGAGCCAAGATTGAACTCGGCGTCTACCCAGCGATACAGCAGAAGTGGCAGGGAGACGTAACGTCTCCGTTCCCTACTCAGGGAACGAGGGTTACATCCGTAACCGAGACGTTCCCTTTCGTAGTCACTTCGAGTTACGTCAGAAGTGACGGAGATTGGGGGTCTGTGCCATCACGCCATCTTCAAGCTGTCTACCAGTGCCCTGCGAAAGTCTGGACCCCTCTCTTTTTTTTTTTTTTTTTTTTTTTTTTAGGGATCCCACTTTAACACAGGATAACCAAGGTACACTGGGAAACATATCCCGGGAGGGACATGCTACCAGCTGCCTACCAAGGGGAGGACTTACAAATACACATATGGCCACATAGGAATGCATATGGAAACACTGGAGCACCAACCGAGGTGGCTACTAAAATTTAACTCCAGGGGTGGCAGATGGCTTGCCAAGGGAAGACACATGCTCAGAGAGGCTTACAGTGGAAAATACACATGAGACGGTTACCATGGGGAACCGTGCACATGGAGGCACCTAGCCAGCATCCAGAGCAACAGCAGTTGCTGGACGATGCTGGAGGACTCAAGACTTCAATGGAAGAACTGAGGAAATATCGCACTTATCCAGTCCGGGGAGTGGAGTGGCGAGCAAGCGAAGACACCTGAGCGGGTCCAGTACTGGCGGAAGCGAGTACGTGAGAGGACACCGGCTCAATTCGCAGATTATAGAATCTGGCGAAGGTGTTGGGTGTCGCCCAGCCTGCAGCTCTGCAGATGTCTGTTAGCGAGGCGCCGTGCGCTAGAGCCCAAGAGGAGGCCACACTCCGAGTGGAATGGGCCGTCACACCAAGGGGGCACGGACGGCCTTGCTGCTGGTAAGACAAAGCAATGGCGTCCACTATCCAGTGGGACAGCCGTTGCTTTGAGAGAGCCCTTCCCTTCTGGCTCCCCCCATGACAGACAAAGAGCTGGTCTGAGGTCCTGAAACACCGCGTTCTGTCGACATAGGTGCGGAGAGCACGTACCGGACAGAGCAGTGCCAAGGCTGGGTCTGCCTCCTCCAGGGGCAGCGCTTGCAGGTTCACCACCTGGTCCCAGAAGGGAGTGGTGGGAACCTTGGGCACATATCCAGGCCGGGGTCTCAGGATCACGTGAGAGTAAGCCGGCCCGAACTCCAGGCACGCTTCATCAACGGAGAATGCGTGCAGGTCCCTCACCCTCTTGATGGAGGCCAATGCAACCAGGAGTGCTGTCTTCATGGACAGAAACTTTAACTCTACCGATTGCAAAGGCTCAAAGGAATGCCTCTGCAGTGCACTTAAAACTACCGAGAGGTCCCAAGAGGGTACGAGGGGAGGACGAGGCAGATGTAGCCTCCTCGCTCCCCTCAGGAACCTGATGACCAGGTCGTGCTTCCCTAAGGACTTACCTTCCACTGCTTCATGAGAAGCGGCAATGGCCGCGACGTAAACCTTAAGGGTGGAGGGCGACAGCCTGCGCTCCAACCCTTCTTGCAGGAAGGAAAGCACGACCGCGATCGAACATCTCCGGGGGTCTTCTCCGCGAGAAGAACACCAATTGACGAAGAGGTTCCACTTCAACGCATAAAGGTGTCTCGTGGACGACGCTCTTGCGGAAGTGATGGTTGCCGCCACCGCAGGTGGCAGCGAACTCAAACCTGCCTCGTCCCGTCCAGGAGCCACACGTGCAGCCTCCAAAGATCGGGACGAGGGTGCCAAAGAGTGCCCCGTCTCTGAGAGAGTAGGACCTGTCTCAGAGGAATAGGCCAAGGAGGTGCTGTCGCGAGGAGCATGAGTTCGGAGAACCACGTCTTGGTGGGCCAATAGGGGGCTACCAGCAAGACCTGCTCCTCGTCCTCCTTGATCTTGCACAACACCCGTGCAAGGAGGCTCACTGGGGGAAACGCATACTTGCGTGGGCCCCGTGGCCAGCTGTGCGCCAGTGCATTTGAGCCAAGCGTACCCTCGGTCAGGGAATAAAACTGGACGCAGTGGGATGAGTCCCGAGAGGCGAACAGATCTATCTGTGCCTCCCCGA